TTGGTTATATTTGAGTTTGGCTACTTCCTTCAAGTAAATTGGGGAATCCCCGAGTCTATCTGACATCTGGTCGGGGATTCTAAAATCACGATTCGACATACGATTCGACAACGAGACGATTTTTCCGACGATTCTAGGTTAGAAATCTCATTGGAATTATACCTTTCGACACGACAAGGCCGGTATTGTTGTCGAGTCGTGTGTCGAATCGTGATTTTAGAATCTCGGCCCTGAATCAAACGCTTGTGCACATAAAACGTAAACGATTTTCAGTCCAGTGTAGTTCTAGTTGTTTTGTGTTCCTGTGTATCCAACTAAGTTAAAAATCTCAAAAGTATGGAAGTTTTTTGAAATCTATATCTAAAATTGATGTTCATGTTTTAAAAAAATATATTATTATGGTTTACAATTTTAATTTTGATAAAATTCTAAGTATTCTTCTTGCTTCCCGCTTATCAATTTATTATTTAACCTATTTTAAAATTTCCAGAAATTCCGGCCGGATCGCGGTTGCGATCCAGCCGGAACGGTAGTTCCGGCCTATAGGCTGGATCAGCCGGATTTAGTGGTACCGCCGGAATTCCGGTACATCCCTAATTTCGGGGATTTCAGGGAGTGAGTAATGGTTAAAATCATTATAATCTCTAGATAAAGCTAGGTACCAGTTTAAAAGTTCTTTACATTGAATATTTTTCTCATTTTGTACTTGAACTTTGTGCCTACGATTTTGATTATATAAATAATAGGGAAACAGTGGTTGAAGATGTTCGTGAAAGTGTTTGAAAATATATAGACTTTGCTGGTTGACTTTGTTTTTCTCTATTTCACCAATAGCCACCCAATCCTGCACCTCCAACAGTTTTAAAGAGTACTTTTGATCAGAAATATGAGTATCAAATGTCTTACCATCCACATACTGGAAATATACAAAAATGTTGTCAATACATATACAGGGTGAGTTACTAAGCGCGCGGTCGTCCATATCTCCTATACTAACGACCTATACTAACGATCGAAGAAAAAACTGAATACAAAACTTGTAGATAAACATGAGCACTACATTCCTAAATTATTTTCCAGTATACAGGGTGGCCCAATAACTAGTGGTGACACAAAGTTTTAGTTTTTTTAAATGACTCCCCCTTATATTCTGACTTTTCTGGATTCTGCGGAAAATTCTAGACATATTTCATGTACAATACCTATCTTCAACTGTTTGGGAAAAATTGACAGTTGAAAATTGACTTTTTTGCATCTTTGACAGACTATGATATCTAAACAGTTAATTTTAGAGGAAAACGGATTTTACATTCCTATCTTAGATTTTCACTCGGATTTTCATAAGCTATCATTTGACACCAACTTTGAATTTAACCGAGGATTAATAATTTAGGCGGAACTTTTAATCATGGAATAAATTCAAGATTGGTGTTGAATGATAGTTTATGAAAAACTAAGATAGGAATGTAAAATCCATTTTCTTGTTAAATTAACCGTTCAGGTTTTACAGTCTGTCAAAGATGCAAAAAAGTCAGTTTTCAACTGTCAATATTTCCGAAACAGTTGAAGATAGGTATACGACATTGTACATGAAATATGTCTAGAATTTTCCGCAGAATCCAGAAATAATAATAATAATAATAATAAATAAATATATTACGTAATTGAGTTAAATATTACAATTAACAAAAGAAAGAATATTAATCTAGATAGGCACTCGATATTATGTAGATATATTTGGGGTTATGCGTCTAAAGATCTTCAGATCTTGTGCGCACCCAAGTAAAATCACAATCATAATCGTGCAGCAAAACGAAAATAAAAATAGGAATTCGATAAAAGTTAGCTAACATAATAATAGGGAAGAAATCCTATATTTTAAATATAATTAGTGCATGAATCTATATCTAACCTAATAACTAATAAATTAATAACTAATAGACAGCGAGTAAATGTATGGTAAATGTATGAAAATTTTCTGAAACGTTTGCCACTCTTGTGGCTGTATTTGTTCAAAAGTTTAAGGACGAGAATGTGAGAAGAACATAGCTAATAGGTATACTGCGGTGGTATATAAACATTTACCTATTTAGTATTTGGTACAAGAAGTGCGTTTATAGGCTAGCATAGCAGAAGATTGCAACCATGAGCTTTGCGTATTTGCATAAATTAAATCGAATTTTTACTAGTTAATATTATTCATAGTATACATTCTTCATGTCAACCAATCTATGTGCTTGCACTCTACCAATATGTGTCAGCCAGTCCTTTATCTTTTTTTTAAATAAGTTTTTTGAATTCAATAACTTTATTTCATTAGGTATAACATTGTATATACGGGGGCCCAGAAAAAAAAAGCTTCTTTGAGTAATTGTTTTCAATGCTTTAGGAATGCGAGAGTTATTGTCCCTATGTCGTGTTTCATAACAGTGGTCAATAGGAGTCAGTGTTGATTTCTGGTTATGCTGTTTAACTAAAATTGACAAGCAGAATTGCTGCCTGATATCAAGAATGTTTGCCTCTGCGAACAATAAGTTAGTTGGATAGAGAATGCTTTTCCACAGTATTATTTTTAATAGCCATTTTTGAGATTTCTCAATCATCTGCATAAAATTATTTGTTACGCCTCCCCACGCCAAAATTCCATATTTAAGATGTGGGTCAGCCAACCCGTAATAAAACATTTTCAGATAGTGGAGTGGAAAGATCATTTTCAAAAGTTTGAATTTAGTAAATAAAGATCTAATTTTTTTCATTACATATAAAATATGTTTATCCCACTTAAGATGCGTGTCAATAATTACGCCAAGATACTTACCATTTGATTGTAATTTAATACATATTTGGGGCATAAGCAATCACTAGAAATAGTGAGGGTTTCATAATGTGGCAGATTTGATTTGTAGGAAGTGAATGGGATGAAATATGTCTTGTCAATGTTAACAGTTAGCAGCCTGTGGTTGAAAAAATGAAATACTTTAGAAAGTTCTTTCTCTGCTGTGAGCTTTAGCTCAGTCCAGGATTTTCCCCTAAATAAAATAACTGTATCATCAGTGAAGCTGATTATTTCTCCATCAATGTTTAATCCAAATAGCTGGTTGAGATATACATTAAATAATACTGGTCTGAGGACCGTGCCTTGTGGCACGCCATACTCTATTACTTGTTCCTCACTAAAGGTATTATTTATTTTTACACGCTGAGTCCTATTCGAGAGATAATCCTTCATTAGATTTAATGGAATTCCCCTAAATCCAGTACATTCCAAAGTTGCCAGGAGTTGTTTGTGATCTACCGTATCAAATGCTTTTGATAGGTCTATAAAAACGGCTAGAGATGGTTCATTTTTATCTAGTGCTTTGTAAATATGAGTTGTAAGATCTATCATTGCATCTTCGGTCGATATATTTTTTCTAAAGCCGTATTGTTTTTTTGAAAGGATATTATGTTTATCAAGAAAGTTTATGATACGATCGTTTAAAATTTTTTCAAAGACCTTAGAAAATCCACTTTTAAGAGACATTGGTCGATAATTACTAACATCGAGCTTGTCTCGATTTTTGAAAATAGGTCTAATTATGGTTTTTTTGAATATTTCCGGAAAAACCCCATTTGTGAATGATTTGTTTATTACGGAGGCTAGGGGTCCAGCTATGGAATTCGAAAATCTTTTAAGAGTGTCATTACTAATATTGTCGTAGCCAGGTGCTTTCCCACTTTTAAGTTCATTTATTTTTTGAGTAATTTCATGTTCATCAGTAGGACGCAAAAATAATGTATTATTATTACAATAACCATTTTGTTGCCTGAATAAATTATTATTGTGAGTGCATGGTTTTATTTTATCAGATAAGGATTTTCCCACTGTGGTAAAAAAGTTGACAAAACCATCTGATATTTCTTTGCTATCATTTGACTTCTGTCCATTCTTTGTATAAATTTCGGTTATTTCGTTTTTTGTGCTTTCGGCTGAGATTTCTTTTACAAGGGATCAAAAATTGCTTTGGAATTTTCTTTAAATCTCGAGATTTTTGCCTTATAGAAGTTATATTTAGTGGATTTTATTAGAGAAGTTAATTTATTTCTATAAAGTTTGTACCTATTAACATTTTCTTGCGATGGGTGCTGTTTCTGTATTTTAAATAACTTGTTTTTTGTTTGGATTGACTTAAGTAGCCCTCCAGTAATCCATGGAGTTTTTTTTGCTGTTTTATTTTTGAGCCTAATGTAAGTGGTGCTCTGTTCCAAGTAGCTATTTATTATGTCAATGAATGAGTTTGCGCATTTATTTGCATTATCTTCATTATATACAAGATTCCAGTTTTTGTCTTCTTGAGTAGTATTTTTTGGTTTAATTGGGCTAATGATCTGCAATATTTGCAAATAGTGATCAGTTATGTCATTTTCCAGTATTATTGGTTTATGTTTGGGTTGGAAGGATGCTTTAGTCTTTAAAAAAATATGATCAATGCAAGTTTCTGACATACCTGATACTCTTGTTTTGTTATTTATCGCAGATACAAAACCATACTCGTAAAATGCATTTAAGTAGTCGTTGGTCAATTCATTGTTGGATAACAAATTTATGTTAATGTCCCCGAGAAATATATCAACATCAAAGCCACTGTCACATTGCCCTAAGTAAATGTCATAATATACAGGGGGAGTTATTTAAAAAAACATAATTTTGTGTCACTACTAGTTATTCGGCCACCCTGTAAACTGGACAATAATTTAGGAATGTAGTACTCAGGTTAATCTAGAAGTTTTTTATTTAGTTTTTTCTCTGATCTCCGTTAGTATAGGAGATATGGACCACCGCGCGCTTAGTAACTCACCCTGTATATAATTCTGAAGTCTGTAAAATTTTCATATTTACAGGAATTTTTAATTACTGTAGCAATAAAATGAAATGATCTCTAATTGCTATGTCTATGTTAAAGCAACGGTTAAAGTCACTAGCAATTACAACTTTATTATTATTTTTACAATTCTCTTACCTAAAATTGCTGATGGCAGAGTAAATGCCTGTATTTCAGTCGGTTGATGAAATCCTTGTTCGTTTAGGGCTTTCAAAATTGAATCGTCGAGGAAATATTGTTCCCATGCTATCATAGAATTATTATTAGTTACTTCTTCAGTTTCTTCTGTATTTTCTTCAGTGCTTCCTTGTTTTGATGGCGATAATAATTCTTCAGAGTCAGGTTTTGGTTTTTTTGGATTTTTGTTTTCTGCATTTTTCTTTTTGCGTTTCTAGAAAATATAGATTTGTTAACTACATTGCTTGCACATTGCACACTACAGAATGATAAAAGAACAAATTTTCTTGACTGTGTAGTTATTTTATGGATACTTTTGGTAGATAGATACTACTAATGTACGTTTTAAATACCTTTTTAATAGTTACTATGTTGGAGGCATCATAGTCTGTACATTCTTCGATTCCAATCAACCCTTCCGAAAGACCATTAGCCAAAATTGCTCCTTCCAACTTAACCGGTTTCCAATTATTCACTACGATTGACATGACTAACTTTTTATCAGGCACTACTATTTTAATTTAAATGAAAAGAATAAAATAAGATACAAACAGTATGGAAATTACGATTAAGGAATTCACAAAACAACACATTTAAAAACAAATATTTCAAAAATTCAAAATAAAAAGGGTTATGTTGAACAAGCACGTGGTAGTTCTTCTTCTTCTTCTTATTTCCACACTCTAGTTAGAAGGAAAAGGACATTGTAGGAAAAGACAACCATGAATGCATTCAACCAACGTATTAACCACTTATAATTTGACAACCTAATCTAACCTAACCTAAAAAAAAAACTTATTTGTCGAGTGGCGGGAACTTAGAAGCGGGAATTATTCCTTTGTAATATTTTTATATTTTTCTACAAAGTAGTATCCTGTGTCATTGTTTTCTGTGGTTTGATAATGTCCAAATTAAATCCCGTAAGTATCAATAAATAATTCAAATAATCAATAAATAAATAAATTGCCGTTTAGTCGCAGAGAAAGCGTAAATCTCTGAGTCAATTGACTCTGGAGGCCAGCACAAGCAAAAAAACACGAAACAACAATGAAGGAGAATCTTCAACTCCTTTAACATCTTCAGTAAGTAATTTACATAGCAATTATATAAAACCTAATTCCTAAAATGGTTGTAGAGAAGGGCTGGAACAATAAACTACATGAAATTCAAAAACTTCATGTGCCACTCTCATTTAGAAGTAGATCTAACTCAGAACAACATTAGCATGGTTATAGGCAAAAACGGCAGCGGAAAAAGTGCCATTTTAACAGGCCTTATTGTGGGTTTGGGTGGTAAAGCTAGTCTTACAAGCCGTGGCACCAATGTTAAAAGTACCAACTCAAAACCTCAAAAGCAATATTAAATTAATTCAATTTTTTTTAAATAGATTTGTAAAAAGTGGCAAACCATCTGGCAGCGTCGAAATTCAATTGCACAACGAAGGTGCAATGGCTTTCAGGCCAAACATTTACGGCAATTCAATCACTATTATAAGAAATCTCAGCTCTACAGGTAGTGGAAGTTACAGAATCAAATCTGCCAACGGTGATGTAATTTCAACTTCATCCAAACTAGTAACAAATATTGTCGATCATTTGAATATACAAATCGACAATCCTGTTTGCCTTTTGACTCAAGATACTTCCAGGAATTTTTTAAGCAGCAACGATCCAAAAAACAAATTCAAACTGTTCACTAGAGCAACAAAATTGGAATTGCTTGAAGAAAACTACAAAAAAATTATCACTAATAGGCGAGAGAGTGCTGCAATATTGGAAAATAAAAAAGCTGTAAGTGGTTTTTGACTGCAATTTGCAATATTTTTTTTTTAATATCTACTTTACAGCATTTTTCCAAATTGGAAGATGAAATAAGCACCTTGAACATCAAAGTCAAAAATCACCATTCAATTAAAAATTTGCAAGATTTAATGGAATCGTTGCAAAGTGAATTGGTATGGGCTGAAGTAGGAGTGAGCGAAAGAGAATTGGCTGAACAGGAAGAACAGCTGCAGAAAAAGATGACAATGCTGGAAACGATGCGAGCCGATAGTAATAGGAAGAAACAAGAAATTGAGCAGATTAATGAGAGGATTCAGTAAGAATTTTTTGGTTATTTAGTAAATTTATTTATAAATAATTGCTCAACTTGTATGTTTATTTTCATATGATTTACTTAACAAACCCCTGAGGTAGGTAATTACATGTAAAGGTATGCAGATAGCCAAAAGCTCAATAACAATAATAGGTCTTAATATAAGAATTACACAAAAATATAAATTAAAATGTTGAATATCAAAGATTCACCTCATTATATTATAGTCTCTTTTACTAGTAAAACAAATTGAATTTATAAGACTTTCAATCACATTCCTTGTAGAATTTTTGGATTTGACAGAATTGAAATTTTGATATAATAAGCTCCTAATTCCTAATTCTCCTCTTTTTATCCTAAAAGTTTCATAATTATTCCTTTAGCAGTTTTCCAGAAAAATATCAAAATGTTTTTGGAAAACTGAAACTTTCACTGAATTTTATCCCAATCAAGGGACTACAATCCCTGAAAATTTCAGCTCATTTGTCCTTATGGTTCCTGAGATAAAATCATGTTAAGCAATTTGGGGTGGTTTATCAATTTTTCTGAGTGCGTTTTTCCATAAATTTCGGCTTCAAATCTGAGAATAATTTAGGGGTTTTTATAGGGGGTAATTATGGAGTTTGGAGGATGTTGATTGATCATTAGTATACAAAATCTCAACAAAAAAAAAATTGAAATTTTATCGTTTTAGTAAGAAGGTAGCTAGCTATACCTTATGATTTAGATTTTGGAAACTTTGAAAGGTCATAACTTTTTTTCTATTATAGATAGAAATCTGAAACTTCCACTGAATTTTATCCCTTTCAAAGGACTACAGTCCCTGAAAATTTCAGCTCATTTACCCTTATAGTTCTTGAGATAAAATCGTGTTAAGCAATTTGGGGTGATTTATCAATTTTTTCGATTTTTCTGAGTGCTTTTTTTCATAGATTTCGGCTTCAAATCTGAGAATAATTTAGTGTATGGAGTTTGGGGGATATTGATTGACCATTACAATACAAAATCTCGACAAAAAAAAATTTGAAATTTCATCGTTTTAGTAAGAAGGTACCTACCTTATGATTTAGATTTTTGGAAAACTTTGAAAGGTCATAACTTTTTTTCTATTATAGATAGAAAGCTGAAACTTCCACTGAATTTTATCCCTTTCAAAGGACTACAGTCCCTGAAAATTTCAGCTCATTTACCCTTATAGTTCTTGAGATAAAATCGTGTTAAGCAATTTGGGGTGATTTATCAATTTTTCAATTTTTCTGAGTGCCTTTTTTCATAGATTTCGGCTTCAAATCTGAGAATAATTTAGTGTATGGAGTTTGGGGGATATTGATTGACCATTACAATACAAAATCTCGACAAAAAAAAATTTGAAATTTCATCGTTTTAGTAAGAAGGTACCTACCTTATGATTTAGATTTTGGAAAACTTTGAAAGGTCATAACTTTTTTTCTATTATAGATAGAAAGCTGAAACTTCCACTGAATTTTATCCCTTTCAAAGGACTACAGTCCCTGAAAATTTCAGCTCATTTACCCTTATAGTTCTTGAGATAAAATCGTGTTAAGCAATTTGGGGTGATTTATCAATTTTTCGATTTTTCTGAGTGCTTTTTTTCATAGATTTCGGCTTCAAATCTGAGAATAATTTAGTGTATGGAGTTTGGGGGATATTGATTGACCATTACAATACAAAATCTCGACAAAAAAAAATTTGAAATTTCATCGTTTTAGTAAGAAGGTACCTACCTTATGATTTAGATTTTGGAAAACTTTGAAAGGTCATAACTTTTTTTTCTATTATAGATAGAAAGCTGAAACTTCCACTGAATTTTATCCCTTTCAAAGGACTACAATCCCTGAAAATTTCAGCTCATTTACCCTTATAGTTCTTGAGATAAAATCGTGTTAAGCAATTTGGGGTGATTTATCAATTTTTCGATTTTTCTGAGTGCTTTTTTCATAGATTTCGGCTTCAAATCTGAGAATAATTTAGTGTATGGAGTTTGGGGGATATTGATTGACCATTACAATACAAAATCTCGACAAAAAAAAACTTTTGGTGGTTGGTGAGTGAGATCAGACAGGCTATGATTGGTAGATTTTGGAAAACTTTGAAAGGTCATAAATTTTTTTCTATTATAGATAGAAAGCTGAAACTTCCACTGAATTTTACCTCTTTCAAAGGACTACAGTCCCTGGAAATTTCAGCTCATTTGCCCGTATAGTTCCTGAGATAAAATCGTGTTAAGCAATTTGGGGTGATTTATCAATTTTTCAATTTTTCTGAGTGCCTTTTTTCATAGATTTCGGCTTCAAATCTGAGAATAATTTAGTGTATGGAGTTTGGGGGGATATTGATTGACCATTAGGATACAAAATCTCAACAAAAAAAAATTTGAAATTTCATCGTTTTAGTAAGAAGGTACCTACCTTATGATTTAGATTTTGGAAAACTTTGAAAGGTCATAACTTTTTTTCTATTATAGATAGAAAGCTGAAACTTCCACTGAATTTTACCTCTTTCAAAGGACTACAGTCCCTGAAATTTCAGCTCATTTGCCCTTATAGTTCCTGAGATAAAATCGTGTTAAGCAATTTGGGGTGATTTATCAATTTTTCAATTTTTCTGAGTGCCTTTTTTCATAGATTTCGGCTTCAAATCTGAGAATAATTTAGTGTATGGAGTTTGGGGGATATTGATTGACCATTAGGATACAAAATCTCAACAAAAAAAAAATTTGAAATTTCATCGTTTTAGTAAGAAGGTACCTACCTTATGATTTAGATTTTGGAAAACTTTGAAAGGTCATAACTTTTTTTCTATTATAGATAGAAAGCTGAAACTTCCACTGAATTTTATCCCTTTCCAAAGGACTACAGTCCCTGAAAATTTCAGCTCATTTACCCTTAATAGTTCCTGAGATAAAATCGTGTTAAGCAATTTGGGGTGATTTATCAATTTTTCAATTTTTCTGAGTGCCTTTTTTCATAGATTTCTGCTTCAAATCTGAGAATAATTTAGTGTATGGAGTTTGGGGGATATTGATTGACCATTGGGATACAAAATCTCGACAAAAAAAAATTTGAAATTTCATCGTTTTAGTAAGAAGGTACCTACCTAATGATTTAGATTTTGGAAAACTTTGAAAGGTCATAACTTTTTTTCTATTATACATAAAGAACTGAAACTTTCACTGAATTTTATCCCAATCAAAGGACTACAATCAATCCCTGAAAATTTCAGCTCATTTACCCTTATAGTTCCTGAGATAAAATCGTGTTAAGCAATTTGGGGTGATTTATCAATTTTTCAATTTTTCTGAGTGCATTCTTTCATAGATTTCGGCTTCAAATCTGAGAATAATTTAGTGTATGGAGTTTGGGGGATATTGATTGACCATTAGGATACAAAATCTCAACAAAAAAAAATTTGAAATTTCATCGTTTTAGTAAGAAGGTACCTTACCTTATGATTTAGATTTTGGAAAACTTTGAAAGGTCATAACTTTTTTTCTATTATAGATAGAAAGCTGAAACTTCCACTGAATTTTACCTCTTTCAAAGGACTACAGTCCCTGGAAATTTCAGCTCATTTGCCCTTATAGTTCCTGAGATAAAATCGTGTTAAGCAATTTGGGGTGATTTATCAATTTTTCAATTTTTCTGAGTGCCTTTTTTCATAGATTTCGGCTTCAAATCTGAGAATAATTTAGTGTATGGAGTTTGAGGGATGTTGGTTGACCATTAGGATACAAAATCTCAACAAAAAAAAATTTGAAATTTCATCGTTTTAGTAAGAAGGTACCTACCTTATGATTTAGATTTTGGAAAACTTTGAAAGGTCATAACTTTTTTTCTATTATAGATAGAAAGCTGAAACTTCCACTGAATTTTACCTCTTTCAAAGGACTACAGTCCCTGGAAATTTCAGCTCATTTGCCCTTATAGTTCCTGAGATAAAATCGTGTTAAGCAATTTGGGGTGATTTATCAATTTTTTCAATTTTTCTGAGTGCCTTTTTTCATAGATTTCGGCTTCAAATCTGAGAATAATTTAGTGTATGGAGTTTGGGGGATATTGATTGACCATTAGGATACAAAATCTCGACAAAAAAAAATTTGAAATTTCATCGTTTTAGTAAGAAGGTACCTACCTTATGATTTAGATTTTGGAAAACTTTGAAAGGTCATAACTTTTTTTCTATTATAGATAGAAAGCTGAAACTTCCACTGAATTTTACCTCTTTCAAAGGACTACAGTCCCTGGAAATTTCAGCTCATTTACCCTTATAGTTCCTGAGATAAAATCGTGTTAAGCAATTTGGGGTGATTTATCAATTTTTCAATTTTTCTGAGTGCATTCTTTCATAGATTTCGGCTTCAAATCTGAGAATAATTTAGTGTATGGAGTTTGGGGGATATTGATTGACCATTGGGATACAAAATCTCGACAAAAAAAAATTTGAAATTTCATCGTTTTAGTAAGAAGGTACCTACCTTATGATTTAGATTTTGGAAAACTTTGAAAGGTCATAACTTTTTTTCTATTATACATAAAGAACTGAAACTTTCACTGAATTTTATCCCAATCAAAGGACTACAGTCCCTGAAAATTTCAGCTCATTTACCCTTATAGTTCTTGAGATAAAATCGTGTTAAGCAATTTGGGGTGATTTATCAATTTTTCGATTTTTCTGAGTACTTTTTTTCATAGATTTCGGCTTCAAATCTGAGAATAGTTTAGTGTATGGAGTTTGGGGGATATTGATTGACCATTACAATACAAAATTTCGGCAAAAAAAAATTTGAAATTTCATCGTTTTAGTAAGAAGGTACCTACCTTATGATTTAGATTTTGGAAAACTTTGAAAGGTCATAACTTTTTTTCTATTATAGATAGAAAGCTGAAACTTCCACTGAATTTTATCCCTTTCAAAGGACTACAATCCCTGAAAATTTCAGCTCATTTACCCTTATAGTTCCTGAGATAAAATCGTGTTAAGCA